GGGCGCGTTCCTGTTTTGACGCCGGCTGCTCTCCCCTCCTGCAGGTACTGGGATGATTTCCACGCCTGCACCCTCACAGCGCTCACCGATTGCCAGGAAGGAGCGACAGACCTCTGGGAGAAATTGAGACGGGAATCCAAAAACCTCGATTTCCAAGGCAGCTTATTTGAACTGTGCGGAGGCGGCAGCGGCGCGGCACCGTCCCTCCTCCCGCCGGCCTTGCCCCTGCTCCTGGCGGCTCTGTGGGCCGCCCTAGTGACCTGGCTGCCTTTCTAGGGGGGCGAGCACACTCACACCCACACCCTCTCCATGTGCTGGATCTATAGAGGAAGTGTCCATCCGTTGCTTTGGGGACGTTGTGCTTTTCTGTGGTTGATGATGATGATGATGGTGGTGGTGGTGGCTGATGATGGTGAAACACCCATGTAGGACTGTGGAAGCGTTCTCCCTTTTTTTTTTTTTTTTTTTTTTTTTTTTTGTGTTTTATTTGCCAAATCTTACCAAACAGGCAGCGGCGCGCAGCCCAAATCGGACCTCAGCTTTACTATCGCTTCGAATCAAAAATAGAAAAAAATAGAAAGAAACAAACTCGAGCCCTCGTTGTGCAAACGCAATCTCAGGAACGGCTCTGGGCCACCTACCGCTAAGGCTGTAACCGGCCGGGTACCTCCCGGCGAGCCACGGGCTCCGCTAAAAATGCGGCAATGTGCGAGGCGAGAACAAAAACCGCAGACAGAAAAAGGCACTGGCGAGAAATCCAAGGTAGATGTCCACGTGTGAAGCATATGGTGAATAATTCACAATCTCTCATCTTTCCTCCACAGTCGCTTGTTTTTTTGGTCATTCCACTGAAAAAAAAAAATTAAAAATTAATAAAAAAGAGCATTTTTCCTCAAGGGGAAAAGAGAGCCAGAGAGGGAGAGAAAGAGAGGGAAACGAACAGCTAAGGAAGGATGGAGCAAGAGAAAGAAAGACCTATCTAAATGTCCGGAGGAATGAAGGAATGCTGCTAACATCTCTGAGAGTTTACCTTTACTTRCTGTTCGAAGGCATCTTTCCGAATTCACTGCCTTTAATTTTTTCCTCCTCTTTGTTTTAGATGTTACACATACCAGTAAAATACCTGAATATCCAACCGTAGAGATCACAAAAAGGGGGCTTACATGTTAACCTAAAGGAAAAAAAAAACAAAAAAACAACAGCAAAATGATTTTGAAAAAAAAGAGCCTTGATTTTAAAAGAGAAGAGAAATGTAATTTAAGCAAAAGTTTATTATAAAGTCAATTCAGCAAAAAATAACAAAAAAAGATTTGCTACAAAGTATAGACAGAAGTATAAAATAAAAATTATTGTTTGAAATGAGGGTGTTGTCCTTTTTATAAAATATGCCTAGAGTATCTTGGAAAGGACAGGGCTTTTAAGGCGAGGAAGTCTAAATCTTGAACCCATTCCTTGACGAACACGGCAATTTCAGTTCAAACAAGGACAGGGTGGCTGAATCGCTTAGTCGAAACCTTTCTCTCTTTTTTTCCCCCTCCCTTCTTTCTTTTCCTCCTTAAAAATACGCTTTAAATCCTCCCACCCTCCTCCTCCTCCTCCCGAAGCCGCGAACCGCAGCACCCCCTTTTTCCCAGCCGCCCGGGACTGGCGCAGGGAGCCCCGCGCAGCGGCGGGGGCGGGCGGCGCGGCTCTCCCGCGGGCGCGGAGCGATGCCGAGCCCCGGCGGAGGGAAGGCGGCAACCACCATTAAGGAGGAGGCTGCGGAGCCGGAGCCGGGGCGCAGAGGAGCCCTTTCATAATTAATAAGGCAGCTCAGCCGAAGGAGCAAGGGGAAGGGGGGACGGGGTATTGATTTCGCAGCAGAAGCTGCTCTAACCTCGGCTATTTATAGACGCCTGATGCCTTTATAAAGAAATCCACATCAAAGAGTAAACACGTCCTTTTTACTTATAAGACGAGAGCCCAGCTGGCGATCTGGGGTGGGTAGGTGGGTGAGTGGGTGATGGGGAGGTAGGGACCACGAATTGGTGCGGGGTGATTTATTCCTCTGGGGAGCCGTTGCCCGTGCGATAGCTCTCCTCTGCGAATGTGTAGGGTGGCAGGGTCTCTCCTTCGCCCCCTCTCCCTGCTMCCTCCCTTCCCAAGGTCCGCAATGTAATGTGTAAGCAATAGCAAATGTAACAGTTCATAAATCAAACAGTGGGTCGCAAGCCAATCTGCATTTCCCAAACGGATTGAATCCCAGCAACGAATGTGCTCAGGAACTGGAGCCAGGCGTCTTTACCACTAGAAGCAATGTTGATTTTTTAATGATAAAATACATTATGCGTGTGTTTGGAGGGGGGGCTTTGCAGAGCTCAGCCTCGCTTCGGCAGGCACAGGTCTGCTTGAATTTCGTTTTACTTTGGCCTCCCTCTAGACTCAATCCCCACCACCACCAAAGAAAAAGGAAAACCCTGGAGAGCAGAGCTTTGTTTAAATGGTTTGGGTTATTTTCCCTCCCCACAGACGATCTAGACCTAAATTGATTTTTCTGTGCGCATCTCTGTATTCATGAGGTCAGGCGCTGCTGTTACGGTTTCCTGTAGCASGAAATGCCAGATGCCGAGGAGAAAGGGGAGACGGAGCTCTTGCTGAGGTGCAAGGGGCTCCGCAGCCTGCTGTCTGGGCCAGCTGGGCCGCGGGGACCCCCCGCCGGCGGCGGGCAGCACGCCCCGCTCCGCCCCGGGGTGCTCGGGCACCGGTCCCGCCCGCTGCCGGCATCCCCCGGCTGGGCGTCGGGCGTGCTCCCGCCGCCGCCCCCGCCTTCCCGGCTGCTGGACCATGCCCGTCCGTAGGAGGACGATGGAAAGGAGCCTCCCAGCTTTCCCTCACCCCACAGAAGAAAGCTGAAACGCCCTAATAAGGGGGCGATTTCCAGCTCATTAGCGGACTCGAGTTATCTTCGTGTGAAGTTCAATTACTAATGAATAATATCTCCGTAATTAGCACATCCCCCAATTAACCCTCCGTTGAGGAGAAAAATAAAGGGTGGCAAAGCGGTGAAAAACAGCCGAACGGGTGGGGAGGATGCCTGGTGGTCGTTCCCGGGCCCCTTTCCTTCCCCCCTGTCTCCCCCTGGACTCTCCCGTTTGGGGCTCCTAATTGTCGGACGCTCATCCCCAGGGCACAGGCCGGCCACCGGGCCCGCCGAGCTAGCCGGGACACAGAAACCTGCATTGCACCCCTGGATTTCCGGCACAGGCGGCGGGGACAGCAGCAAGCCCCGGTCCCGCCGGCTCAGCTCCCCCGGACAAACCGGCAAAGCGAGGCTCTCCCCGCTGGCAGCTCAGTGGTTTTTTTCGGGGAACACAAGCAATCAACAAACTCCCCCTCATCTTCCGCCCCTTCATTTCGTAAGGACACCTCAATGCGCAAGGTGTCCTTTGGCATTGGTTGTTCCCTTTTCCGCCCCTTTCAGGGAGCGTTTCTGAAGCCTAAGTGCAATGGTCGATTTTATGTATTTATTTTTTTTCGACCACAGGGGTGGATGGTTGCTCTGCCTTGCCGGGTTGTGTGGCCAAGGAAATACGAGTCCTCCGCCAAGTCCCAGAGAGGGACTGAGTGTACTGGGCTTGCTCCCTGCCGCCTTGCACCTGTAGGGTTGGGAAAGGCTGCGGGAAAGGCTGAGGTGTCGCTTGCCAGGCTGGTCCCACTGCCCCAGGCAGCGGCTGCTGTAGCAAGACCTGGAAGAGGTTCAAGCCTATAAGAACCCTTCTGAACTCCTGGGCAAACGTGAGCTGGTGAACGGGAGAGGGGGAAAAAGCAACAGAAAAGCGTTTAAACCTTGACAACGACCATAACAAAATTATCCCCTACTTAAAAAAAAAATGCACACACACGCATGCATACAGGGTAAGGAAAAAAAAAATTAAAAACCAACATAAATGCAGATCAACAGGGGAAAAAAAACAGAGCTGAAACAAAAGACAAGCCAGCGCATTTCTAGCTGGGTGGATAATCAGGAAGGGCTGCAGCCAYTGCGGCTCTGCCTGCCCTAATTCCTATCCCCAGCTCCGACTGAGCAACCGCAGCCCCGCAGTCCCCGGAGGGCCGCGGAGCGCTGGCTCCTTCTTCCCCGGCAGCGCTGGATGCACCCGTGCTTGGCAGGCGGTTGCTCTACTGCTGCCTCCCTCCCCCTTTTAGCAGCCTGGCTGAGCCCTGCAGGGAGGGCAGCGCCTTGCCCCTGCTCGGGCTGCCCTCCGACACGGCGAGACTATGCCAGCACTGGGCTGAGGTGGTTGATTTTGTTTGCTTTAAGTGGAAAAAAAAAGAAGGCTTTTTCCCATCTGTTCAAAGGCTGTAACAGGGAGATGGAGTGGGCCTKTGCTGAGAGCAAAAGCTTGAGCCAGGACACACAGAAATGAGAAAAAACCTGAGTGGCAGTGAGGGCAAACTGGCTGGTGCTTAGGGAGGGAGCAGGGAGGCATGGTATTAAAGTAAGGTGCAGTATCCATTTCTCTCAGGACTTTCTGGTGGCTATGTCTACATCTCAGGGGAAGCAGCCACATGCTATTGGTCCTTGCCTCATTTGCACAGTCTAGGGATGAATGGATCAGTGGCTCTTCCAGCCCTCCTCCTCTCCATGGTCCTTTCAAAATCTGTGCAATCGCTGTCCTGCCCAGTGAAACCCAGTAAATTCTGTGAAGGGCTGACAACCTAAGGAGAGAGAGAACAGTTCAGCCTTTCTATTCATCAGGGCTGATTCATTAATGATTAGTGCCATTAGGTGCACTACAGTAGTGCCTGAGGGCCCCAATTAAAGGAAAACTGAGCTTATTAAATCCAGAAAGCCAGATTCTCCCTCTGATACTCCCTCCTGATGCAGAGGTGGTGCCTCCAGGATGGGCAGCAGGAATAGCCSTGGCTTTCTCTGTGTGCAGCCTCTGTGCTTTCCCCCCTTCCTCCTCCAGCTTTTCCCTCTCCCTTGCCTTGGTTGCAGATCCTGCTTACAGGATGCTGCAGAGCAAGGCTGTTGCAGGAGTTGGCTGGCAGGACTCACAGGAGGAGGTGGCAAATCAGCTTATTTTTCTGAGCCACTTCATTCTTCATCACAAGTGGGTTTGGGTGGGTTTTTTTTTTGGTTTAGGTTTTGGGGTTTTTTTTGGTCAGGGTTGAGAGCAGGCAAAGTGGTGAGGATTGCAGAGGAGTCTGTTATGAAATCAGAAGTGATTTTAGATGTCTGAAACAGTTTCTTTAGGCAGCTGAGATCAGTTGCACTGTTGGCAAATGTGCTTCAAGCTGGCTGGTGCCTCCCTTGAGGGACAGTTTCCATCCAGGGCCCATTGCAGTGGTAGTACAGAAAAGGGCTTTCATTTGCTTTGGGCTAAGGATCTTCTGCTGCCCAGTTCCACCAGCGAGAAGAGAAGCTGGAGATGATGTGGGAGAGTGACAACAGCATTGTTTTTGGTGAGTTATCGGCTGTTCCTTCCCCCTCAAATCCCCATGGTGGGTTTGTGTTAGAAGATTTTGCTCAAAGCCCCATACTCCTGAACTATGGGTTTGATAACAAATGGGCAGACTGCACTGGCACAGGCTTTGCCTTTCAGGAGGTACTGAAGAAATTGGTTTAAATGGATCAAATTCTCAGAAACCCAGCCTGTGGGTTGTGCCCTAGCTTTTTAGGCTTTATTRTTTTATTTTGTTTCTTTGTTTGCTTATCTCCAAAGCTGATATGAAGAAAAAGACTGAAAGAGCCTCCTGAAGGTCAAGGTGAGGCTGACCAAAACCTGAATGCTGGTATGCACCAGCAGTAATAAATCCCTGCTCGCAGGTGCTGGAAGCCTCTTCAGCCAGAGAAACAACATTGCTGCAGGGGACAAACAGCTAGTCCTGACCTTCTTTACACAGCCATTCTCTGGGAAAAAGTATCCCCTGAAGTCAATGTGCATTCTGCCTAGGTAAGGATTTTGAATGCTCAGTTTTACCTCAGACAGGAATATTATCCTGATATGAACTCCAAGTTCATGCCCCCAAAATACAAAGAGTTTTTTGTGTGCATCGTGCTTTGCCCCTTCAGGTTTCGTGCCTATGATACCAATTTATTAAAGACTGTGAAAATCTCTCAAGAATCAAAGATCAAATCTGCAGGGAACCCTCTATTTTTTTTTTTTTTTTTTTTTTTTTTGCCATGAAACATTCTCAAGAGTGGATGGGCAGTGGATCATTTCATACCACTTTAATATCACCAATTTCTTTAACACTTTGGAAACTGGAACATTCAAACTGATGCTCCCCAAGACAGGAAACAAAAACCCCAAAACCTCAGGCAGCCAAAGAAAAAAACAGCGAATCAACCAAAAACCATTAGTAACCATACGAAAGAAAAAAATCACTGATACTGATAGGAGTTGTTTTAAGCATATTTATCCTGTCTTAAGCCACCTATTTTGCTGCAGTCACTGTCAGTAATTTTCCTTCAGATACAGCTACATACATGATCTAATTCTGCCAAATGTACCTCTCCAAGAGTCAAATCATGTGTTTAGTATAGGTTTTCTTTGTCAGCCCTTCTAAATTAGTATTTTTGACAAGAGTAGCACCTTACATACAAGAAGTTTTGCAATAAATTGTCAGTTTGGTATTTATGCTTCTTTTAATGCATTTTATTTTGACTGGGTAGTGTAGGAGGTCTTATCCATTGCTGTGCTCCCCTGGGACACTTTCAATTTTCCAGTCCTCTGGCACAAGCTGCCTTTTGCAAAGGAATGATTCCTGTAAAGCCACTGCCTCGTTTTGTTTCCCATATTCCAAGAAATCCTTAAATTATGTTGTCAGATGAAAAATCCAGAACATATTTTGTTAGCATGGAACATTGGTCACATTAGTTTCGCAACGCCTCATTGAAGGATCCAATATGTCAGAAAATTGTCCTAAGCTTTGCATTTTATTGAGGCTTAATAGGTGCCCTTGTCCCTTTTATTAGACCTGTGATGCAAGACTTGGTTGTGTTCTGTTGCCAAGGCACTTCACTTGGTCTGCTTCACCCTTACTCCCAGCATCCATTAAATGGGACAGCACTTTGAGACCTTTAAAATTTGTGGAAAATGCTGCATGAGAAGGTAGGCTTTATTAATTAGAACAATCTTATTTTATCTTTTAGCTTTCATCAGGAGGAAGACACCTGGATTGACATGACAACAGCAAATAATAGGTAAATTACTTCACAGATCTGTTACGTAACAGAGAACATTCAGCCCTGGGTGCAGGGGAGCTGCGGTTCACCTCCCCCTCTGAAGAAAACTCGTCTTAAAGAACATCATAGCAGACCAGCCTCATGCAGATGCTGCACTGCAGGCACTTCAGGCTGTAATTTTCGGCCCTTGGCTAGACCATSGAGGACAGGTTGCAATACCTATCCTTTTTGCAGATCCCAGTCCATTTTCAGCCATGTCACCCAAAGCTCGTGAACCCCCTGTTTTGCTGTGCATCAAAAGTTCATTTAATTACCTTCCCTCCGTTTTCTTTAGGTGATGGTGATTTGCACTCTCTCCACTTAAATCAGCTATCTGGCACATCAATGCTTAGAAGGCTTAGGAGAAGAAGAAAACATCAATATTTCACTGAACACAAAAATCGCACAACTCCCCAGTCGTCATTTTAATGTCAGCTGTGGTTAGTTTGTTGGTTTTCCTTTTTTCCCCTGTAAGATGAGCGATTTCCACTTCTCTTTGAACCCCACCTGTGCAAATAGCTCGTTTTTCTCCCTAGCAAGTGTCACCAAGGAGCTGCGAGGGTTTTGCTCAGGCTCAGTAGTCAGGCAGTCCTGGGGTGGCTGACTTCTAGGAAAAGCCACAGCAGGAACAAACGAGAGCCAGCCCACGCACCAGGCGCAGCTTTTGCTGGTCTTCAGCGTGTGTTCCAGCTCACACYGGCGGTGAGCGAATCGCCGCCAGCAATTGCGGCACAGACGGACGCAGGAGGAGCGAGCCGGACGCTCCGTCACGGAGCTGCCCCCGGGAATGACGGCTCGGGATAAAACAGCCTCRCCCGCCCCGCGGAGCTGCGCCAGCGCACGGCAATTTGGGACTCGCTCTGCTCACTCAGGTCCGTGCTCTGAGCTTTCCAATCTCATCCTCTGAGTGAACCGRATCATGCAAATGGGGGCACCGGAGTCACAGGGAAGTCGAGTAGAGTTCCACACGAGTACTGGCATAAGAAGGAGCAGCAATTAGCTCTAAATTCACTCTACCAGCCTGTCATTTCTGAGCTCTCCCCTGCTGCTCTGCAACTGGAAGCCTTGCRCTCTGGAAGAAGGGGAGAAGAACATTTTGCTCATGCTCATGTTAATCAAGTCATCGTGTGAGCTGCTGAATCTGTGAAATTGTATCTCCCATGGAGTTCAGTGGTAATGACTGTCTTCGGTGTGGACTCTCTGGTGTCTAATAATACAGTTAACTTTCTGCAGTGGATGCACTCCCAGCGTTTTTTCTCCTCTGCCTGCCTACTTCCACAGCACTTGTGGGCAGCTCAAACCTTTGAGACTTTTATCCCTTGTCAAGTTTGATCAAACTCAGTTCACAGGCTCAAAAATTATTTAGGAGGGACCGACTGGCACTTGCACAGACAGTGTGATCTCATTCCTTTCCTTTCCTTGGGAAACTAGGCTACCAACCTAGCAACGGGGTGAAAAAAAAAGCCATCCTGCTAGCAAAAAGGACCTAAACACCAGGAGGAAAGAGGGGAGGTGGGAGAGGAAAGTGAAGCTGTTTTGAAGGGAAAAAAATCGCTGCTTTGTAGTTGCAGAGCTCTCACACACTTAAAGGGCCAGGAGGGACATGCTGGAGAAGATATTCTCCAGGAGATGGAAAGTTCTCTCATGAAAATTGGTGAGGGAGAGAAATGAGCTGGATTCATCTCACCACCTGGCATGCTAAATGGATATCTATATGGTAAGGATCGTCTCCGGTGACACCCGTTTCTCTCTGTGGACTGGAGGAAGACAAAGACACAATTAGCATGCAACTTGTATGTCTGCAGTATCTAAAGCGAGGTGTATCCTGTCCCAAAGGGAATGATCTTCTTCCCACCCTCTCCTTCAGACCAAAGTTTTCCATGGTGCTGCTGCAGGGTTTGTTACTTCATGTACTACATTTGTATTTTAGAAAAGCTGCTGTGTGTCTTAATAGCTGCAGATGTATGCATGATTTTACTGGGCATTTATTAGCACTTACCCTCTTTGCACTGAAACCTTTCCTGTCCTTGTATCTTATGGAATAAAATTCTTTAAGTGAGATTTAATGATTCTATGGTTCCACTTCTTTACAAATCAGGGAGCTGTCATCCCACTTTTATTTGCTATCCCACAATGTTTGAGGCTGTCAAAAGTATTATGGTGTATATTCATATAAATTGATATTTAATTTCAGTGATTATAATGTCAGTAATTGTGGTTTTGCACCTGATGCAATTACTCATATTCATCCATTGAGCTCTGCTTTGTTCTTTCCAGATTTAGGCGTTCCCATACTCTTTAATCTTCTCTGCCTATGGTGGATCATACACACAATGAAACTTGGAAATGAAAGCCCAGACCTCCCCATCAATTTCTGTGTGCCAAGGAATGGGATAGTTGGAAACTCCGTGTGTACCCCGAGTGCAGGATATGCACAAAAACCCACTGACCATTTTATGTAATTTTTATGAGGCTTAGAGGGGGTTGTGTTATCCAAACATTGTACAGTGCAATTGGTTGTACTGGCCTACTCCTAAAGGTTTTTCAATTTTTAAGGGGCTTTTTTACTTGAAGCCTTTCACTTAAAATTACTCCAGGGGTGCTGTGGCAGCCCATTTTACATGGCTTCACAGTGCTCTTTTCCTCACAGCCTTGCAAGGGTGCATTTTTTATGCCGTATTTCCTGGGAAAAGGCTTCCTATACCTCACCATCATCCTGTGCTCTTCTTCTCTGCCTTCTCATCCCATTGCTGTCAGGTTATAATTCATAAAATTCACCACTCAAGTCCCTATGCCCTCTCCACTTGGTGCTTTCCAGACCAACGAGTGCATATTAGAACAAATATTACATATAATGAGTAAATAGCAGTAATTTTAATGCAAGATAAATAATACCTAATTACAAATGCATAAAAAGCGTATCAGCCAATTAGCGTGCAGCATTCATACTTAATCAAGCATAATCCAGTCAATGCCAGTGTTGTCATCAGACAAAGATCACTGGAAGGCAACTCAAGCAGGCTTTAATGAAGGATATAATTTAACCAGGAGGTGGTTGCTGATACGACAGTGATCTCCTGCTGCTGGAGCAGACGCCAGGAGAGGACAGCCACATGAGGACTCCCGACTGTATCCTGTCTGGCTACAATTTTCCTTTTAACATTGAACTTGGTGTATGCCACCAGCTACAGGATCAGTAAATAAAGCATGAGCTTTGTGTCTGTGAACCTGCCCCAATGTTCTCTGTGTTAAAGTGCAAAGTAAAAAAATAATCTGGGCTTCAGATTTTCTGCTCCGTCCCAGCAGAGTTTGAGCACAGTGTTTCCTCTTCTCAAAGATGTCTAAGACTCATTGGCCTCTGGGTTGTAGTCCACACAGAAACTTATTTTGGTTCCATTTTATTAAAATAAAACCTTTATCAGGCAGTATTGCATCTTTATTATTATTGCCATGTGTCAATATTATTGCCATCCATTATTTCACTTTCAGAGTGGCTTTTGTTATTCTAGCTTAAAAAGTGTTCCCAACCGTCTTAAATTAAACCAACATAAATTTAATTTAACCTGAAGGGAATGGCTCTCTCCCAGCCAGCTGCTATGCTTCTCTCTGCACCTGGCAGTGCGTGGTGCTGCAAGATTTCATGTCCAACAACAGAGCCAAGGCTGCATCTGGGCTTGAGTGTCCGTGTGGGAATGAGCACTGACTTCACTCAGCTTTTCTGGTGAAGTTCAGCTGTAAAAACCAGCCCTTTGACTGAATGACCAAACTCACCACTTGGTACAAATGAGTATTTTATAGGGTAAATATCACCGTGTCACCACGTCAGAGCAATGGAGCCTGAGCTGGGCACCCAGTGGGCAAGGAGCTACCATGGCAGCAGACCTGTGTGACACAAACTGCTACTTGCACAGGCTTTTGAATAAACTCTTGCCTTTCAGCTTCTTTGGAGCAAAGACCAAGAGGTCTGCAGAAGTGCTCGCCAGGAAAAATATGCCTAGGACAACATTAAAAGGTAATTTGTGCTGAAGTATCTGGAAAACTCAACCTTAACCTTGTTGGTAACAAGGTTTTCCTGATGATGCTCATCTATCAGAAATTACACGACATCAAGATCTCTTGTGGATCTCTCCAAACTTTTCTCATGGCTTTCTAGAACTCCAATGTGATAAATTAACATCATCAGGAAATACTTTTTCTTTCAAAATATCTGCTCTTTGCAGAATGTGTTCTTTTGATTAAATAAACAATAAAATTTGGTCATCAATCATTGCCACTACTGAATTGATGAAAATGTTTGCTGACCAGCTTTTCTGAAGCCTTTCTGGGGCAAAGACTTACTAACAAGTATATGAGGTTACTGGCAAGTCAGTGAATGTTGCTTTGGGACCAGAGTGAGAGAAGAAGTTGCAAGGCACGCTGCCTGCTGAGCAAGTCCTCTCAGTCAGAACCACCGTGTCCTCAGCTGGGTGCCCTTCTCTTCCAGGGCTTTTTTGCTGCACACATTTCCTCAGCAGCTTTGTGAATTATACTCCCCCCACCAACCATAAATGAGACCTACAGATGTCAAACTGTGTAAAAGGGGTGATGTCTCTTGGCACCATGTCCTGAAGAGCTGATGGACTCCCAGCAAAAGGAGCAGGTTATAAGGCAGTGGAGATTTAGAATTTTTACACCATGACAAGGAAACTTTTGTATCTCAGGTTACTTACAGAAGCTGCCTCAGAAGATAAAGGTGTAGGAGGAAACACAGTAAAGAGGAAAAGGTTTACCCTGGGTATTTCCACTGAGTGTACAGGGAAGCTGCTTGGTGACATGTAGATGTCTGCCCCAATTTTCTGTGTAAACAGCACCTGGTTTTACCATGTGAACTTAACACCTTGTTTGCAGGAGCTGGGCCTGAACTCTGCCTTTGGCACTAAGGACAGGAACTCCTTGGGGGCTGTGGAGCCCTGAGATAGAGCTTTAAATATGTATTTAGAGGTCAGACAGCAGCTTTGGCAAGTCATTTTAGCTTCTTTTTCTCTGACATATTTCTAAAATGGGCTTAGACTCTGGATGCACCTGTTAAAGAGGATAGCATGAGCAAAATCTTTCATGATCATAGAAGTGGAGTTTCAAATCTCATCTTTTTGGACCAATATAACTCTGAAAGAAAAATTTAGAGCAAAAGAGTACACTGACTGCAGCTGGAAGTATTACATTTGGCAATATGGTACCTGCCTGCAGAATACACAGAATCTATTTCATGTCTTATTTTCTAGACCAGTGAAACTCCAAATACAAATGACACCATCAGAAAGTTTCCTTGGACTTGCGGCATTGTTGGAAATCCTGAGTGCCTCTGGACTTGATTTTCAGAAGTTCTAGTTCTTCTCAGTTCCCGGGTTATTACAACTGGAACTGTGTCTGCTTCAAGCTTAAGCCCAGATTGAATTAGAGACTTCAAGGTGAT